ATTCATCACTTCATCCATTGACTCATCCATCCATTCATAACTTAGTTTGTTCATCCATTCATTCATAACTTACTTCGTTCTTTCCTTTTCTCCTTTATATCCCTTCATCACTTCATTCATTAACTCATCCATTCATTCATAATTTAGCTCGGTCATCCATTCATTCATAACTTAGTTCGTTCATCCATTCATTCATAACTTAGTTCGTTCTTTCCTTTATTTCTTCATACATTCATCACTTCATTTATCAACTCATACATTCATTCATACCTTAGTTTGTTCTTTCCTTTATTCCTTTATCTATTCATTACTTCATCCATTTGCTCATCCATTTCATTCATATCTTGGTTCGTTCTTTCCTTATTCATGTATCTCTTCATCACTTCATCCATTAACTCATCCATCCACTCATATCCTAGTTCGTTCTTTCCTTTATTCCTTTATCCCTTCTTCACTTCATCCGTTGATTCATCCATCTATTCATTTATCCATCCAATCATAACTTAGTTCGTTCATCCATTCATTCATAACTTAGTTCGCTCTTTCTTCTATTCCTTTATCCCTTCATCGCTTCATTCATAGACTCATCCATTCATTCATAACTTAGTTCGTTCTTTCCTTTATTCCTTTATCCCTTCATCACTTCATTCATTAACTCATATATTCATTCATATCTTAGTTCGTTCTTTCCTGTATTCCTTTATCTCTTCATCACTTCATTCATTAACTCATCCATTCATTCATAACTTAGTTCGTTATTTCATTTATTCCTCTATCCCTTTATCACTTCATTCATTAACTCATCCATTCATCCATAACTTAGTTCGTTCTTTCCTTTATTCTTTTATCTCTATTAACTCATCCACCCATTCATAACCTAGTTCGTTCTTTCCTTTATTCCTTTATCCATTCATCACTTCATCCTTTGACTCATCCATCCATTCATAACTTAGTTCGTTCATCCATTCATTTCTCACTTAGTTCGTTCTTTCTTTTATTTCTTTATCCATTCATCACTTCATATATTGACTCATCCATCCATTCATAACTTAGTTCGTTCATCCATTCATATTTAACTTAGTTCGTGCTTTCTTTTATTCCTTTATCCATTGATCACTCTATCCATTGACTCATCCATCCATTCATAACTTAGTTCGTTCATCCATTCATTTATAGCTTAGTTCGTTCTTTCATTTATTCCTTTATACCTTCATCACTTCATCCATTGACTCATCCATCCATTCATAACTTAGTTCGTTCATCAATTCATTTAAAACTCTGTTCGTTCTTTCCTCCATTCCTTTATCCATTCATCACTTTATCCATTAACTCATCCATCCATTCATAACTTAATTCGTACTTTCATTCCTCCCCTTTCTCGTCCATCCACTCCCCCATTCCTTCATCTCTCCACCCCTTCGCCCATGTGCAGGTTTGGGGTCATGTGCTTGTGATGTGTGTGGATACCATTGCCTTTGACGCCTCTGCCTTTGATAAGTTAGTTCTGCCACCTGCGCGTAAGTAGTTAATCCAGGCGTTGGTGCTGTACTCTTGTCAAAGGGAAGGGCGCGGGCAGTGTGTTTCTGCTACACGGGCCATCGGTAGTGGGGAAGACTTTGACAGGTGCGTAGGTAAAAGGAGTGTCTAGGTAGGTAGGTAGGTAGGTAGGTAGGCATAGACACTACACTCTCCATAGTCCACACCCATGACTAGTTCTATTAAGCAACACTACACTCTTCATAGTCACACCCATGATCAGTACCACCACACTCTCCATAGTCACACCCATGACTAGTTCTATTAAGCAGCACTACGCTCTTCATAGTCACACCCATGACTAGTTATATTAAGCAACACTATATTCTCCATAGTCACACCCATGACTAGTTCTATTAAGCAACACTACACTCTCCATAGTCACTCCCATGACTAGTTATATTAAGCAACACTACACTTTCCATAGTCACCTTAGGTCAGTGAGTCGTGTGTTGTCTTAGAGTGAAG